TTCTTCTGGCGGCCCTTCCATTTTTGTTCTCTCTCACTCTCTCTCGCTCTCTCTCTCTCTCCACGGCACTTATGTCACTCTCTCTCACTTATGCTCACTCATACACTCCCTCCTTCTCCCACTTACTCATGCAGTCACTCATCTCTTACATGCATACTCACTCAAGTTCAAGTTTGGCAGTGCTTTAGTGGCATAATTATTTCAAGTTACATTACTACTAGTCTCTAAAGATTAGTAAAAGCCTCTGACTATCAGCAAGGGCTGTCATGAATGTAAAATTTCAGCTGGCGATTAATTGTCCTATAAATAAATGCAATTAAAGATTGAATTGTCTGTTCTTGTTTGTTGAATGCAACTATTAGGGTGCAAGCCTAAAGTGGACAAATTGGTTAATTAGCCACCTTAACACCTAGCTTTGTTTTTTTTTAGTGTCTAATGCTGGTTGTACAGTCGAAATGATACACTACACTGCTGTGCACACGCCTCAATATTCAGACAGAATTATCTATAGCAGGGGTCAGCAAGCCAAATGTTAAGAAGAGCCATTTTGTCCTTTCAACAAAAATCAAACCACCTTGAGAGCCACAACATTTTATGTCCATTTTACCATCTTGGCTATAAATATGTATCAGTGTATGCTATTATCGTCGTATAGGCTAATAAATATAAAGAAAAACGCAGACTTACTTTGCTCTGCTTTAAGCTTTAGCACAAAGCCGGTTTTCTCACATCTCCGGCAGGAAACAAAAGTAGAACAATTTCTTGTAAAATATCTCTTAACGTTCAATGATTATGAATCTAAAAGTCGGCTTCTCATTCGCCAGTTTCTTGTTCGAATTTTCCCGTTACACCAGATTTTAACTGCTGCACCGTTTAAGGTGGCATGGGACAATTCAAACAAGAAGCTGGGGAATGAGAATCTGACTTCAGCTTCGTGACTTTTAGCGTTTGACGTTTCTCGTTGCAGATTAAATGTATCAGGAAATCTTATAAACTCACAATACGTCAATCCATCTCCAAATCATTGTTGTCCATCTTAAATCTTTCTCTTTGACTTTTCATTAGGTACTAGCTAGGTGAGATTGTTTTCTGCATTTCAGGGTTAAAGGTTGATGAATTAGCAGTTGTAGGCTGCTTTTATTCCAGCGTTTAAGAGCATTTATTGTTAAAACTGTGTTAAAACGATCAGCAGAGCTTTGTTTAACTGCAAAGAAGGATTATTTTATTTTTACCTAAAAAAGTAATTCTGCTGTGGAGCCGCAACAGGACAATTAAAGAGCCACATGTTTCTGACCCCTGATCTACAGAATCATGTGTGAAGTCAAGCAACGCTACACAAAAGGGAAAATCTGTGCAAAAACACTCATTCTGCTAGCATACATACTAAACATGTTAGAATTAGCTACATAGCTCATAAATACATCAACATTACTCAGCATTGCCCTCTATACGTGTTAGAGCACCAAGCTAGAAGGTAGAACCTTTTGTTTTCATAATCCTCATGATTGAATACATTTACTACTTTCTTTTATTTAAATTTATTTTTCTCAACTCACCTAATTCACATTTTGCTTAGAAATCTAAAGACTGTGGAAGTTATTGTAGTCCTAAATAATATCAGTCATCTTAAATAATTGTGATCATCTTAAATAATTGTGGTTAGGCCAATATGTAACAATTGTGATAGGCCTACCTTCCACAGAGACTGAGGGGTTGCATTGCTCAACATTGTCAAAAATGGCCCACTTTGACAGGAATGGGCTGTTTGACTGACATGAAAATGACCAGTACTGCAACAAAAACAGGCCTATGTGAAACAAAGTGGGCAAATGTGAGGATGTGTATTATTGTTGTGTCACTAAATGAATGGTTATTAATTCAAATTTGCTAATTTGCTAACCATTTGCTAATGCATATACAGCAATTATATAATTATTAACAATCATTGACAATCTATTAAATATAAAACTCCTTCTGGGTAAGGGGGGGTGGTGAAGGCTATCGCAGTGGTCATTGGGCAGAAGGCAGGAAACACCCTGGACAGGTCACCAGTCCATATAAATATATATATATATGTGTGTGTGTGTGTGTGTGTGTGTATATATACATATAGATGCTTTGTCTGTCTACACTCACAATTTCACTCTCTCTTTCTGTCTCTCTTTTGTTCTCACACTTATAGCCACTCTTTCCCTTATTTATTTACTCTCTGTCTCTCTCTCACCCTCTTTCTCACTGTCTCTCACTCTTGCTTTATCTCTCTGCCCCCTCATTGTTTGCTTTATTGGCGAGAACATCTCCCAAAGAAATCAATAGTAAGATAACAGTAACAATAAAGATAATGAGAGCAGTGAAAGCTACAGCAGTCATAATAGTGCAGTTTCTTTTATGGTTTCTCAGTATCATTACCATCCCAATCCAATACCCATAAGAGTGTGCTGAAGCACACATATATACACACACATGTGGAAGCGTTTGGGGAGATGGTTTAAGGGTAGGAGCTGAGCAGGTCATGCCGAGCCATTGTGTGGAGGCTTTTTACGGGTTGGGTTTAAGAGCACTGGTGGATTTCTTCATCACCCCTCAGGCTATGTCACACTGAAATGCTTCTGCAGCGTGTCCTTTCCCCAAGATGAATTGTATGTGTTCTTTCTCGGGTAACTGGGAAGAAATTCGGGATTCGATTTGACATTTTGTCCAAACAGATATCTGCAGGGTTCGGAAGTTTTTCACAGTGAAAGAAAAAGTAACTTCCACCTGACGCCTACGTATTAGTGCCGGCTCTTCACTTTCTCAGCTTCTACAAGTAACGAGTTATTACTGTTATTTTGCTACACATTCAGTTTTCTTATTATAATTAAATGTTATTACACACAGTGGGGTCCAAAGGTCTGGGACCACTAGTGAAAATGCTTCTATTTTGCATTTGTTTCTAATTTAATACAAAATCTATATTCCTAATTCTCTTATTCAATTTGAGTAAAACGTAGATTGTTTGAAATAAAAACATTTCTTAATATTTGCTTTGTCCCTTTTTTGATTTAATGACAGTGTAAACTCAAGCTGACTGCACAAGCTTGTGCAAAACCTCTGATGAGTAGATCAAATCCAGCTGAGAGTCATCTGAACACGAGCTTCATGAATAAATTAAATAAATTATAAATAAATAAATAAATAAACTGACCATTTAGTCACATTTTGCTTCAGTTTGAATAGTGACCTAGAAATCCTGAATATTTCTTCATCATTTTACCTGTGACAATTTTGTTTTTGTTTTAAATGTTTCTACGTTCTAAAACTTTAATTTGTTCCAGGTTTATATGAAAAAAACGTCCCCATAATTTCTCGGACGTTTGGACCCCACTGTAAATATAGGGGTATAATGATTCACAAAATTCTGAATTCTGTTCGATATGATACACTGGTGTCTTGATTCCCTTTTTCAATAGAAAATGCTCCTCACATTAATATGTTAATATACAATATTTGAAACAGAAGCTGTGCTTTGATGCTGTAGCCACAAGCTAACATACTAGCCATGAGAGAAATTGCTAGTCATGATACAATAAGACAATATGCTGCAATGCAAATAGTTCCCTACATAACCATATATGCTGCATACATACTTATGTAACGAATTACATTTATATTTGATCGTGTTCTGTGTTGAGTCGGCACTTCTGACCTTTTTTCTGTTTGTTTCAATGTTAAAAATGACAGATATGGCAGAAATATAAAGGCTGTTTTGCTTTCTGCAAAACAAGAGAACAACATTTCATCATATTGACATCATAACAAAATATCTTTTATGCACAAAAACAAATGTGGTTTCAACTGATAGTTTAGACTCCACTTATTTCTCTGCTTGTTTTGATGAGTTGCGAGTGATAAATGATTTATATTCAATGACACAATTCTTTTGTTAACACTGAAACAACCTCTAGAAGTATATATTTACCACTTTTGTTTTGCTATGCATTCAATTTACATCATTGTTTACATATAACTATATCATTACACAACTAATTACACAGCTCATAGCACAATGAATTACATTTACATTCAATTTATATTTGACAACTTTGAGTCTGCATCTCCAACTTTTTTCTCTTTGTTTCGATGTCAACAAATGACAAAAAGATGGCAACAAAGTAAAGTATGTTTTTTCTTTCCAGACTATAGATACAATAGGGGTGTATCTACATATGCATCTCTAGATAGAAAATTAAACATTAGCGAAAAAGACAAAAAAAAGAAAGAAAGAATACACACGAATGCTGAAACTAGACATCTGAGATGTGAAGTAAAGTCACATGAACCAATTAGTCAAAACTTGTATATGGGATTATTTGGATTGTGAGGAGCAGAAATGCAACCAACTTCTAAGACTAAACTTTTGAGGTTTGAAAAAACATCCCTGCCGATTTCTTTAGACAATCTGACATCATGTACGGTACTACATGTTTGTTATGATGTAATTCAAATCATAATAAAATATTTCATCTTCTACTTACAAATACAAGTGTTGTATTGATTAAAAAAGTAGAATCTACACGTTCAACAGAATTTGTCCACTTCTTTTATTGAGAAATAATTACAACTGAATCTCTCCATGCTTTTGTTATTGCTGCAGATTACTGTGAATTCTACAGACTCAAAGTCATGTGCCAGTGCATCCAATGGCCAAAAGACAGTCTCTCTGTCCCACAGTTCATGTTGGGCAGTTCTCGGTCTTTCTTTCTGTCTCTCTCCTTCTGTCCTCTGTGCTTTCTTTTGCAGTCCTTGGCCTCCAGTCAGGAAAAATAATAGGCTTTTTGAGTTGTGTAATTATTTCATGTTAGCCTCTCATGCGCTTGTATGAAGTGCTTCTAAAAACAGTCTTATTAGCGGAAGCTTTTCAAAAGAACGCAGAGATCAGCACTAGATCCCGCTTGGAGGCTTAGTGAGGAGGGAGGGAAAATATTAAAACACTGAACATTCATCTTTCTTGTTTTCCTCAGAAATGGAAATGGCGAAAAAGCAGACAGAGAACGACAAGAAGAAGGTGGACGAACTGGTCAGGGAAAAAGACATCCTGAACAAGGTACACATAGGCCTGTATGTGGGTCCACACCTCATTTTCTCACTTTCATATCTACATAACTGACATTCTTTGATGCATTGGTGTAAGAAATATACCAATATTCATGATTATGAATATTATAAGTATCATTATAAGTATGTCACAAGCAGTTTGTTTTCATAGTCTGATTCAGCTGATAATAAAAAATGAGCTCTCATAGCACAGTAATAAAAATCTAATTGCTCTCTAGGCAGTTCAATCACAGTATAAGGTAAAATATGTTTGATTTTTTTTTACATTTGCTAAAAAAGTATAAACTTAAAGGAATAGTTTGGTGACCAATCTAATTTGCAGAATTTTCCACTCACCCCAGATGTAGTAGAGTCCAAATTTTGCTTCTTTACTTAAGAACTGCAGCTGCAAGGTTAATGTAGGCAATAAACACTAGATCTCAGTAGTCACCCAAATAGCCCAAATTGTTTCTGAATACGTCAAATACATCACCAACGCTTCTCTCAACCCACTCAAACTGCATCCAGGGCTTCATTAAGGTCATGCAGACTTGTCATTGTGCTGTAAGGCACAGTAGAACTTACTGTGAAGCACTAGAGCTGGTATTCACAAAGCACTCATAGATTAGAGGACCGTTCTTGGATGAAGTCCCACTACATTCATTCCTTTACATTTTCCTCTGTATTTATGTCCTTGTCACAAAAACTGATTCTAGATCAGCACACCTACTCCTCAGGTTGGTTGTGAATACAGGGCCCTTGTTGTTTAAAAAAGCTGCCAGCAGTGTTCAGCTACACTGAATTTTCATTCATACTGTCCTCTAAACCACTTCGACAGCCTTAATGGAGACCTGGATGCAGTTTGAGTGGGTTGGGAGAAGTTTTGTTGATGTATTTTCTACAGACAGCAACGTGGGGGAACGATCTGGGCTATTTGGGTGACTATTGGGTCCTAAAGTTTGTTCGCAACATTAGCCTCACAGCTGTAGTTCTCAAGTAAAGAAGCAAAATTTGGACAACAAACATGTCTTGGTTGATTGACTAGATCGAGGGTAAGTGGAAAGTTGTGTATGTTTTGCCAAAGTCTTTAAGGATATGCATAGTTTGTAACCACATAATTTAGACGATTTTATGGTAACACTCTATTTTCAGAGTTCTGAAAGCTTTTTTTGTAGTGTCTTTAACATTCAAATTAAAATCAGTTAAGTGCATCTGAACTTTAAGTTGAATGTAAGACATTTTATTCACAGTAAGCCTATTCCTAACTTTCACCTAAAACTAATCCTAAACTTGACTTTAACCCTGACACTGATGATAAAAAGCACATAGTTCAGTAACAATTAGCATCTGTTGATCATTTAAAAGAGACTCCCAAAATAAAGTGTAACCAGTTTGAGCACTGGTAGTAGTTATGTAATAATAAGTCTTATTCTAATGTTATTCTTATTCACAAATATTCTAATGTTGGTTGTTGATTTTTGAATGAATGAAGGAAAGCACTGTAGAGACCTCTTCTACCCAGTGTATGAGGTGTGTATTTTATGGAATAATATGCCTAGAGTTCCCAAGGAGTGAAGACTGTCAGCCCTAAAGATTTTATATTATGAGAATTACACCTGAACATCTGAGTAAATTAATTTTTGCTCAGTGATTAAGAACCAAAAGTCATGATAATCCGATGCAATAAAAGATTTTCAACTGAAATATTGATAGTAAGAACATTAGCTGCCTTGACAAAGACGGCATGTTTTCTCAACTATCCTGTGTTAACATGCAGCGTTTGAAAAGTTTCAAAAGCTTGGGTTTGAAAAGTTAGAATACATTTTCTTAAATAGATAAAATCCTCTTTTTTGAATCATTCTTAGTTATATCCACATTGTTTTCATAGTGGGGCAAAAACACAAATAAATCTACATACAAAAAAGTCAGAGACCACCCTTTGCTTATTTAATTTCCAGTCAAAATGACCATTGACTACCATTTATTCATCTTTCAGTATCAGGAAAAAAAGCAAACATATGTTTAACAGAACCTCAACAACTAAATATAATATTTTTTTTCAGTATTTACCGTGTCTGCCCTTTGCCTTTATTACAGCCTCCATTCTTTTTTGGAGTCTTGCTTTGAGCAGGGATGTTCTTCCGCACCTCCAAAGTTCAGTCTTAGAAGTTGGCTGCATTTCTGCAAATCCCAGACACGTTCAGTGATGTTCATGTCTGTACTCTGGAGTGGTCAGCCCACTGTTCTGAGAAACTTTCTTCAGTGATGGTTTCTTGAACAGCTTCACATCCTTTCAGACCCACTGCGTTGAGTTGACTTCTCACAGTGGAAGGATGAACAAAAACAGCTGTGGACTTTTTCAGATCTGAAGTGGAGTTTGATTTTCTCCTCTCTCTCAAAATGAAAGCTTTAAGCACTGTTTATCTGATGGTGACAGTGTTGGTGGTCTACCAGGTCTTTCATGTTTGTTAGGAGTCCCATTTTCTCTATAACATTTAATAATTTATTGAACTCCAGTTTTGGAAATTCCTGTTTTTTCTCTAGTGTATTATATGGGAAAGGTTTCACACTTTCTGTTCATATCAGTCTATTACATTAACCAGTTTTCCCTAATTTATCATGCCTGATTCAGTTCATCAAGCCTTCAGGGGCATTTGTATAGGAGAATCAGGTGGATCTGATTAGAGCTGCAATAAAACTCTACAGGAGAATCACCAGGAGCTAAACTGATGAAAAATCAGTTATTCACTACTGCTGCAGACATTTAATCAAACCCTTCTCATCCAGTTTAATGACCACATTGCTGTCTGTAATTTTTACATGGTTATTGATGCTCCCAAACTTTAATATAATATATTTAATACATGTACCCATATCAGATAATCAGATTCATTCATATCTGTCCAGTACCAACCATCTTTTTCAGAAAGAATGTAATACCAATAGTACATCCGAATGCAGAGCGGGTCAGATAAAGCCGAAAAACAAATCTGATTGGAGCAGTAGAGCCTGCTACCAGAGACCTAGCCTGATAAGCTTAATGCATAAGTCCAGAGTTACTGACCCTAGCTGAAATTTCTATCCGAGTCCTTAGACAGAGTCAGAACTGAGATTGCCCTCTCTCTCTTAACATAGTTATGAAACTGAGGTGCGTTTCACAATCAGGCGAGAAGGTAGCTTCCTCCAGCGCTGATCTCCTGAATATTGCAGTATTGTTGTGGATATGGAGATGAGTGGCCATTCATATTTAATTGCACTGGGAATATGATGCCCCCCACACATACGCACACATATGCAAGTTTGTATTTCTACCTTTGTAGGGTTGTTCTACTGACATCTGAATTAGCTGCTGTGTACTTAACTTGACCCAAATCGTAATCTCAGCAACCAAAAGGAAAATACTTTTTCAGATCAAAGCCTTTCGATATAAAGCTATTGTTCCAAATGGGGACCAGCCAAAAGTCACACTGTTTGTGTTTTCCATTATCCTGGGCGCACCTGGTCCCCTCAAAGTGCTAAATGCATGGCCACACAAACACACAAACACATTGGCATGCATACATGGCTCCTGAAATTGGCTCTACCCTCGAGAATGCTTCCTTTGATCTACTTTACACTGATGCATCACGGATGAAAATAACCCTTTCATTCCAGCAAAGTGGCCAATTATACTTTATCTTTTAAGATTAGACCACTGACAGACTGTTTTGTACTTCCTTGGCTTTGTTTGTTGTTTACAAGGCTTGTTTGTTTATTTTTTTGTCCTTTAATCGGCCCCTTCCGAAAAGAGACGTGCGTATAACGCGTTTGTTTGAATCACTTACGATAGATGTGTTTACAAGGTAGTGTCTAATCTTTTGTATAAACACTGTGTCTGTGGGTGTTTGTGTTTGTGTTTAGAACATGATCAAGGCAGCTAATGCCACCGAGAAGCAGCTGGATTTGGTGAAGTTGCACGAGCAGACAAAGAAAACTCTGGACCAGGAGATACTGACCTACAGAGATGAGGCACAGAAACAACGCAAAATAATCTTCCAGCTGGAGAAGGAACGAGACAGATACATCAACGAGGCCAGCGAGCTTACACACAAGGTAAACACACGTGGGCGAGAGCTCATATTTTATCCATACTTGCACACAAACACTGACTCACACAAGTAGATGTCTGATGTTGTCACTCTGCAGTCAGCATCTTGCCCATAATAGGAACTAAGCAGGGTTTAAGCAGATTTCTCTATGAGAAAAATGAATGCCAGTTTTGAAAATTGCTGTTATCAAACTACTACTAATAATAATCATTTCTACTTATGTATAGCATTTTTCATGCTGGTGGCAGCTCAAAGTGCTTTACAGAAAGGTGATAAAGCTTAACAGTAATACAGGAAATTATAAGTATTAATTTAGAATCATATAAGACAAATGACACAGATCAAATTAAAAGATAAAGACCACGAGACGTACAGTTCTAATTCAATGCTGAGTTAAAGAGATACGTTTTTAGATGCTTCTTAGAAGCATAATAACTGAACAAGGCCTCTCCATGGTTTCTGATTTAACAGAAGGTATTTTCAAAAGACCAGTATCTGCAGATCTAAGATCACGTGCTGGAACATAAACAGATAGACATTCTGTGATGTAAGTGGTGCTTTAAGGTCATATAGAGCCTTAAAAACTACTAGCAGAGCTTTTAAATCTATCCTGAACGATACAGGTAGCCAGTGCAAAAACGGGAGTGATGCGATCTATTTGTTTTATGTCATATGTTATATGTTTTCTTAGGAAGTCCATTAAGAAGAGCATCACAGTGATCAACTCTGCTTGTAATAAATGCATGCACAAGTTTCTCTGCATCACTTTGAGATAGAAAAGGCCAAACTTTAGCAATATTTCTCAAATAATAAAAAGCTACTTATTAAACTTGAACACTATTGTAAAACAACATCAGTCTACTACTGCCAGAACAACTTAACTACCACATTTGACAAAACACAGTGTTAGCTTGCATGTGGCAATAGCTGTATTTCGATTCCTTAATGGCTTTGCAATTCAGAGGATCCAGTGACATTCAGAAGAAAAATGTCTATATGACAAAACATATCAGCTTTGGGGCATTTTTGTGTTCCACAGCCATTGCAGTGATCTTTCGAAAACGTCATTCATTTTTTCCCATAGAGAAAAAGCTTATCCCTGGAGCTTAGCCCTGGAGCTTAGCCCTGTTGAGACAACTTCAGAGGTCTATGCATATGTGCACAATTAGTAGCCAATCACACCCAGCGCACACTGCAGTACACTTAAGGTAGTACACTTGAACGTTGTTATACCACCGAATGCACAAACTCTTGCACATTCTTAAAGGGCGATAGCAATATGTTGTAAGGCCTCTTTAAAAAAAAACTGTAATTTCTGTAATTTTTAGTTCATTTTTAAGTGGTTTGGAGTTTGCTGCTCTTTTAGTTGTTCTAGTGTAGATTGATCTAGTTGATTGGAAAGGGTTAAGTTCTTGAAACACCCAACAGACAATTATGCAATAAGAATTTGTTTCTCTGGTATCCAGGTAGATACAGTCAAATGAGCTCTCCCATTGCTTAGGACTTCAGGAGCTGAACTGAAGCCTCAAATATCCATGTTTAAACTAGAATGGCCAATAAATGTTTATATGAGTTGCTGTCAGCTTAGTGCTTACATACTACTAGAATCCTATAAATTAGCATTATTATAGAGGTGTTTTTTTTAGTGTGTTTTTTATTGTTTGACATTTACTGCCCAAATGGAAGGCCACTATCTAATAATCATGGTTCGCCACTGAAAAAATGTAAATGTAAACTAGCTTCTAAATAAAGCTGGATTTTGTTATATAGGTAAAAAAAAATAAACACACACAATATCAAGTAAGTGTGGGTGTCCAGTCATTATGCTAAAGTAAGAGGGTGACAAAACAGGGTGTTAGATTCGCTGAGCTTTGTGCACTTGCTGTAGATTTTACCGCTATCAGATATTGAGCAAAGCGAGGTGCCACAAGGTTCTATGTTAGGTTCAATTATGATGCCTATAGTGCCTTTCATACAGTATGTATACCACAGCACAAATTTCTTATGGAATTAAAAGAGAAACAGAATAGTAAGGTGAACCATTTGAATTGTTTTACTGATTAAAAATCAGTACAAATACAAGTAAAATCAGAGAGTAAATTATATGTAACAAGAGCAGTATAAGAACGCATAAGCCATGCAAAGAACAAGGAAATGATGAAAAGTATAAGATGGAAATAAAGCAGTCATAAAAATGCTTTGTAAAAACATCCCTGATAAATGTCTCGTGGGAGGGAGTTCCATAATTGCAGCGCATAAAAACAAAAAGTGCTGTTCCATTTGTTTTGCTCATAAATGGGACGTAATACATGCCTTGGTGGAGTTATGCAGGAAAAGTTATCCTTACTGTGTTACAGTCATGCAATCATACAATCATGTACGTCCATTTAAAATGTAGCAAAAGCACTGGGAGTTGAGAGAAGTCATAGATGGGCTGCAAAAGGATGTGAAAATGCTTGGCTTCCTCTTGGAGGAAAATTGTTGTGCTTTTCACATGTCTCCCATCTTCAGAAAAAGTGTAGGTAGATTAAGAGCACTAGAAAAGGCTCAACTCTCTCAGAACTGCCAGAAATATGACAGCACACACAGAAAAGTGAATTCCCTCCTGTGTTTTCTATTCTTAATCTCTGTGTTGACAGGGAAGCATTCGCTGCAATTCAGGCATGAGAAAGTGACGCATTGGCTGGCGACTGCGTCATGTAGTTTAATTCTGCTACAGCACAAGCATAAAGGTCATGAGAGCTGTATAATGAATCGGTCCCAGACATGATCTTAATGCCGTAGTTATTTGTTGTAAAACTCTTTACGAAACACTTGCTTTGAAAACCTTGCTGTAACGGATTACGGTGGCATTATAAAGTGCTAATGACTGAACGTGGGGATGTTAGTAACCGTTAAAGTGCTCGTATAACTCGCCCGCACTGCTTAGAGACACATTTGTCAACACGTCAATATTCAGCTAAAATTTTACCAGCTGTTTTTATGGGAATTTTCTTCCTTTGAGTTTATAGTTTATAGGGTATATGATTGCCAGTGGAGAGATCAGAATAGGAGAGATCTAATTACTTTAGGCCCTATCCACTTTAATTCTACTTCCGGTTTAAAGCAGAGAAGCAAGTCAACATATTTTTGGAATGTGGTCACATGGTTTTAGCGAGAGGGAGGACTCATTCAACCTTTGTGCAGACAACATAGACTCGGGCTAAACTTACTAAACTTTAGTAATTGTTCATGAGTACAGCAAATTTGTGGCCATTTTTTGTGACTTTTGGGGTCTTGTGACTGTTTTGAGTCAAAAACAATCAGAAATAGGACAACGTTTTAAAGGCATACAGAAGGCATTACATAACCGCACACCGGCCTTACTGTGCTGTGCAGCGGTAAAAAATTAAAAACCATTGTTTTTAATGAAGGTATGCGCACAATTCAGCATTAAGGCATGCCAGCACTCGGCAGCTCTGTTCAATTTCTCATCACGTCCCAGTGCGCCACACAGCATTTTGCCTTAAGTACTTTAAATCAAAGCTATATCGAGACCCCAGAAAGCCATAGTAGTTGAGATGTGGCTTAAAATTTATAATTGTCTGTTACCTAAGCTAATGTTACTAGTCTTTTTTTCACCTTGTATCTTTCAGTTTAAAACAAATACTTTGTGAAGACTTACTCTTATTTCATGAATGGACTTGAACTTGGTGTCTATCTGCATTCTGACTGTAATGCATTCTGTGTGGTATAGCAGTGCTTTGTGCTGTATCTGCTACTTAATGCTACATGATGCAGCATTCATTGTGCATTGGCATGGCTTTACATGTCAGAACTTTGACGCATCTTCAGATGTTTGAAAACTACATGAAACTAAATTGCATTGCATATTATAAAGCCATGCAAAGTAGCTCATTCAAAACTCCACAGTTGCAAGTCTCTCAACTTCATTGAATCAAGAACAACCCAGTCAAACACTGATAATCAATCACTTGATCATGTCACATGACATACTTTGGCAGTTGAAAAGCAGATTCTCCTGTCTGACTTCATGCAAGGTTGTTAGTTTTCATTTTATCAGTTTTCTGAGCCATTAGAAACGTGAGTTTCTGAAAGTTATCGTTTCTGTAGCCAGCTGCGTTAACTAGCCAGCTAATGCCAACAGCTGTTTAAACAGTTACTAGTACCCAAAAAGTGTATGTGTATTTTGTTTATTCTGATTTGTTAGCCTGCTGTTATCATTATCAGAATTCATTTCAGTGGGTTTCCAAATGATGACAATAAGATGCAGTCTTGGATGAACTTATGGTGCCTATAAGACAGGATGAGCGAGACATCAAGTCCTACCTTAATAATTACTTAAACTATTTATTCAAGGCTTAACATACACAGAACAGATAAAGAAACAATAAAAATAGAAAAGAACCACAGGTAGATGGATAAAAGACATATATAGATACATATACATATATACAAAAAAGAGCAGCAGTGACAGCTGGAAAAATATACCTAGATGATAAAAGTGTTACACATAAGTAAATAGCACCTTGCTGATGACTTAATATAACAAAAATTATATAGTGTATCAAAAATACAAGCTGCTAGTTTGGCTAACTAGTGGAGTAACTGAATGTGTTGCTAGCATATTTTTCAGTTGCTTTGTACAGCTGTCAAGTTTTACAGAAATGATGTTGCAGACAGCATGCAACTAGTTGCGTAAAAGTTTCACTGTGTAAAGCCAGCCGAAGACTGCAAAGAAACAAGAATTCCTTTAAATGATGTGTTAAATTGTGATTACTGTGACCAGGGACATGAACTAACAATATGTAAAAGGTCAACCTTGAATTCAGGTCGACTTTAAGTCATGTACCTGACACTTCTACGCTACTGTTCTGCTATATACATTAATTTATTCTCTTACTCATTTATTAATGCCTCTCAAAATACAGTTACATTTACTGCTGTGTTTTTACAATCCTCACTGTGCCCTGACTAACCACTGCTATTTCAGAGAACGTGGCATTTCAGGCACTTGCGACACTTAAGCAGTTAGCGCCAACCTTTCTACTGTTTCCTCTCTCAGTTTTCTCTTTCAGCTCACATTAGCCCTTTGCAGGGAGTTCCCTGAACTGGCGTCTTGCTAATTTGCTGTGAAAACACCCAATGGTGAACAGAAACAAGGCCAAAGTGTTGTAAAATCATTTCACTCGGCTAATGATTCCAAAGGCCTCCTTAGCTCCAGTTCTCCTCTCTAAATCAAGCTTTTAAAAATGCAAAGAGTATTTCCCACTCCCCAAAGGAGAGAGTAAAAATGCCATCACAGGCACAAATGAAGGTCAATAAATCAATACTGCTCTCATACATACAAGCAGCATTCTTAAACAATACACATCATGCAGACTTTTTCACTTAGCAACCTGGTTTATGATTAATCAGGAGAATTATGGTGGCTAATGAGTCAGTTGTTAAACAAGGTGGCCTTTTTTGGCAGCCTTTTAAGTGAAAAGAAGAAGAAAAGTGGGTAGAAGTAACTCTCTGAGATTTGTCTGAGACCTCCTTGCTGTTTGCTGGCACTTCATAACAGTTAGAGGAATACTTTGCCCGTACATGCTAATGTGGCTAATGAATAAAAGCTAATGGAGCAAGTTAGCATGGTCTGATGTGCCTAAGTCTGGTCCTGATTAGGAATGTTAGCATTGTCGGGTAACAAATACCTTTGAGCACGGTTAAATGCTGCATTAGCAGAATCGAGGGGGAATTGATGCTGAATGGAGATTAGTAGCATCTGCCACCGATGTGGCTGCTGAATGATGATAACTCTCTGATGTGGGGGAGATCAATTGCCTTTGAATGGCACTAATATGTAATAATGGCCATTATTCAGTCGGGATATAGACACTTGACTATCCCCTGACATAGCCAGGGAAATATTAAACATTGATTTTTCTTTAGCTGCCCTCGACCTCACATACACACACTTCTGTATTCATGTCCTGCCTTCCTGTTAAACGCACAGGCCTTGAGCTGTGTTAGTTGCTAAATAGATTTAAAGTCTAAAGTCTAATAGAAAGATTTGAAGTCTAATATAAAACACCAGGGCATTGATACCGGTAAAGAATGTCTCTCAGTCCCTTAACGGTCTGTCCAGTGAATACATTAAGTTAATGTATAAAGAAGATTAAATACATCTAGAGATGAGTATTTTAACCATTTCTGCTATTGTAATATCCATATTTGAGTATTAATAGACGTATGAAAACGGTTGGCCACAATGTTTGGTCAAAAGACATTGATTTTGGTTTTGTTGATTTTCTAAGTAAAAATAACTTACACATCTTCTACAGAGACCACAGTTCTGCACATTTTAGTGCACAGCTACTGTTGATTTGCTGAGTTTAATCAAGTAGGAAACCGTAAAACATTCATTGTGGCTTTTGCAAAAATTATAACATATTCTGTATTTCATGTTTTATTGTTCTTCCAAATATGTTAAACTCAGCAAATAAATGAAAATTGTGCACTAGGTATCCTGTAGAGGATGTGTTAACTTATTTTAACGTCATTTTATTCATAAAACATGGCTTTCGACTGCTTTCAATGCTAAAATATTTCAACAAACAAAAACACAGAAGGTTTTAAATGTATTTCTTGCTTGCAGCTGGTAAAAGAGGTGAATTTTACCTGCTTTGAGTTCATTTAGTAATTTATTTTTGTGTTTTGGGCGTGCCAGCTAACCTAAGGCCACTACACACTGGACACACAGTGTTGCGCCACACAGCACCGCATAGCGTAGTTTTACATAGCATAGCGTCACATAGCATAGCATATGTGCATCATGTAGGACCGGGTAGCAGATAGTACAATGTGCAACTATAACACTAACAAACATCAAGCACAAGTTCATTCACACAAGTCGATTCTTGCAGTCGACATGTTGGATGTGTGAGAAATGGGCAGATATGAAGATCTGAGTGGCTTTGACAAGGACCAGATGTGGGGTGCTCTTGTTCCGCAGTGGTGAGTACCTGCTGACAGTGCTCTAACACGGGATAAACCATAAACCGATGACAGGGTGTTGGGTTCCAAGGCCTTCTTTTATTATGTTTTACAGATGCCTAAGCAGAGATACTTATTTGCTAATGCGTATTTTCGCATGTTGTACTGATGCCGTCTTTAACCTCAGATGTGTATTTGCTGTCGCCTTCTTTTAGGATGTTTTTATTTTCTAATTCTGTCTTTTAGCTTGTTTTACTGATGGCATCTTTAAACACAGTTGTGTATTTGCTGTCGCCTTCTTTTAGGATGTTTTTATTTTCTAATTCCGTCTTTTAGCATGTTTTACTGATGGCATCTTTAAACACAGTTGCCTATTTGCTAATGCTTCTTTTAACATGCATATTTCTCCGTTTAAGTTCCAACATTTGGCCAGTGTCATAGCATCCCACGTCAAACTCAATGGTCTGCGGCTTGGTTGAGCTGTCTTGTGGTTATATATTGAGCACACTTGTATGTATGACTCCTGCAGTTTTCTGTTTACACTTTAGGAGTGTGTCTTTGATTTGAAAGTTATTAAAGCTATACTCCCAGCCCCACCTCTTTCTCTTCACGGGTTCGATTCTTTTTGCCCTGACTTTGACATTTGGATTTAACCCGGCTCTCCGTGATTGGATTAGCGGCTGCGAGTGCTATAGCGGTCTAATGCGGCAAATCCATGTAATTCTGTTTCTATTCAGCTTTTAATTTGACGTATAATGTCTCGCATTGACAAAGCTGGCGCTGCTGAGAGGGAGCGAGGGGGAAAAAACACTCGGCTGATGTTTCAATCAGGCTCCATTGAAACAGTGTAGGCCTCTCGCTGTGGAACATGTGAACAAGTTCTCGTGGATTTGTCAGCCACCTCGACACAAATCGACTCCATTAGGTTTGTGCGGCTGTCTCCACAGTGTGGAGAGGTGTGTGTGCGTGGTCTGAGGAAGGAAGGAGGAGGAAAAAAGAGAAGTAATAGCGACTGGAATCGATGGATATCGCTGTCATATTTGTTGTAAGGAGAAAAAAAAAACTTGATGGCGTCTTTAAATCTTAAACATTAATACTATTTTTCGAATGCCGTCTGTTATCATATTTTACTGATGGCATTTATAAAAAATGTTTTTGGTAATATAAACTTTAAGCATGTTTAATATAAACTTTAAGCATCTTTTATCATAATTGCGTAATTATTATTGCATGCTTGCTTAATGCCATGTTTTAGCCTGTTTGACTGAATGCGTCTTTAGTTTGCTAATGCCATCTGTTAGCATGTTTTACTGATGACATTTTTAAACACAAATATGTATTTGCTAATGCGGTCTTTTTAGCATGTTTTAGCGTTTACTGTCTTGTAGATTTACTGATGGCATCTTTAAACACAGGTGCACTTTTGCTAATGTCTTCTTTTAGCATGTATTACTGATTGTATCTTTAAACACAAATATTTATTTGCTAATGTGGTCTTTCAGTATGTTTTAGCATGTACTGTATTGTGGATTTACTGATTCTATCTTTAAACACAGATATGTATTTGCTAATGCCGTGTTTTAGCACATACTATCTTTTAATTGTACTGATGGCATCTTTAAACACAGGTGCATTTGTGCTATGTGTTCTTTTAGCATGTATTAGTGATCATATCTTTGAACATAGATGCTTATTTGCTAACGCCTTTTTAGGATGTGGATAAAATGGTATCTTTATTTATAGATGCTTTTATGCTGAAGCTATCTTTTAGTATGTTTTACTGATGGTATCTTTAAACGTAGATGCTTATGTGCTGATGCTATCTTTTAGCTTATTTTACTGAGGGCACCTTTAAACATAGATGCTTATTTGCTAATGCTGTATTTTTGCATGTTTTATTTTATGCAGCATATATTTAACGTAAACGATGACATCACACAAAGTGATTTACCTTTTTTACCTCATGCGTATCTGCAGACTGAAGTATTTGTCTTGTAAATGCTTGTTTCTTTGATCGTAAAGGAGGACGTGCATCCCTCAGTGCATCTCTCATGACCTTTCCTCCCTCATTTCTCTCGTTCTTCCTTTCTCTTTTCCCAGGTTTTGCTGCATATGGAGGACATCAAAGTGCGGGAGATGCAGATCTTTGAGTATAAGAAGAAAATCGCTGAAGCAGAGACCAAGCTGAAACAGCAGATGAACCTCTATGAGGCCGTCCAGTCTGACCGCAACCTCTACAGCAAGAACCTCATCGAGGCTCAGGTACACACTCTTATCAGTGCTTGTGTGTGTGTGTGTGTGTGTGTGTGTGTGTGTGTGTGTGTGTGTGTGTGTGTGTTTGTTTGTTTGTATACCTTGTGAAAATCCAGAAATAGGAAAAAGTACTGAAAATCTTCACTTCAGTTAGTTCTGTACTAATACTTCTACTCCTAGTAGCTTTACTCTTACCTCACTACAAGTAAAAGTACTAGTAAAGAAACTTACTCAAGTAAAGGCTCACAGAGCTTGAGTTAAACGTGCAATTTATTTAGTAAATTAACTCCAGCATGTGTATAACTGATGGTATCTTGCACACCAAACAAGATTTTTCAGACATGAAAATGCATTATTTTATTTAACGTTTGACGCCTACATGAACCGTCTGACCAACCACAGTCGTTTCTGTCGTTGGCATGATGACAACAAAGATGAAGAATTGGTTGTGTACAAGCAACTATAGCATTTGCGAAAAACATCAAAAGGATCAGAATCTCCAAAACCAGCTCAAATGTGTGAGCGATGATGCTATTCACGCTGCTTTCACTTTTCCAAAATGGAAAGTAGCTCATTGTCACAGTTTGCTCGTTATGTGAGGAACAACGGATATTTGCACTTGAAAACGCTATGCCCGTTTCTTTTACTTCGTCTCATGTGGAGCTGCATCTCCGGGCTGTGAGTGAAAGTGCTCAAGTTTTAGCTTTTAACTGAGGTGGTGAAATTCTTTGGTTTTAGGTGGAAACCAACCTGCGCAGTGACACAGTATATCCATTTCACGAGAAGCAAAAGACCTTTTGCCAGATATTCTGCCTGTTTTTTTCAGTGACGCAAATTAAAAAATCATGTTGTGTGGGTGTGTATAGTTTTAATGTGAAAAAAAATCATGTCAGAATATTTCACACGTACGTTTTGTTTATTTACGTAATGGCCTTGAGAATAAATTCATTCAGAACAATTAGCCTACTGTGTTTGCACAGAGAGGAATTAGACCTCCGCATTTAACCCATCCGTGCAGTGAAACACCCACATACATGCACACTAGTGAACACACACACTAGGGGGCAGTGAACACACTCGCCCGGAGTGGTGGGCAGCCCTATCCACAGCGCCCGGGGGGCAATTGGGGGTTAGGTGCTTTGCTTAAGGGCACTTCAGTCACGTACTGTTAGCTGAGGGGATCAAACCGGCAACCTTCCGGTCACAAGGCTGGTTCCCTAACCTCCAGCCCACGACTGACCCCAAAAAAATAAATTGTTTACTGACAAACTTTGCTAAAATAGCTAAGTAATAGACAAAATTAGCTAAATTGCTGGCAGTAAACAGAAATTAGGTGCTAAACAGATACTGGCAATATAACATGAGAACAGTAGCTTACATATTTACAAACTGCTTAGTATTACTGGCTATTCTAAAATTACAGAAAGAATATAGTAAAATACACAGTAGCTATTTAGCTCCAATTATGTAGCCAGCCAGCTAATTGCATCCTCAAGTTGGAGGTTTAGTTAAGAAAAGCTCTTAAAGGTTCTAGTTATACAAGCTAGGGTGTAGATAGGGCTGGGCAATATGATTATATATCGTTATTGTGATAAATTATGTCACAATACAATACAATATGCTTTTCTGTGGTGCATGTGGTGCATATTGTTAGTACTTGTAGAACACAAACCACATGTTTCATTATAAAGAGATCAAGATTCATGCCATTTAACTGAATTTATTGCAACACAGTATGCAAAATATTGAATAAAAACCATGTTCACACATTTTTTAAATGTAGGATTACTAGTTCATTTTTCTCAGTTCCAACTGATCAGTTGTCTGAAAAAATAAACATTGTGACGTATGTTGTAACATAAAAATTTACATAAAAACTATATTAGAAGTGGTATTAGATTTTTGCCCTATCGCCCACCTTCAGCTGAGATATACTAAGATATGATAAGTTCTGAAATCGGCCCTTCTATACTTTCAATTGATATTTGTGTTTGTAAGTGAAAGACAAGATATTTTATTATGATTTGAATTTGATGAAAGGAAAAACATCGTTCACATCTTTTCCACAATTTTGCACTTCTTGACATTAAAACAAATGTAAAAAAGTCTTAAGTACAGATGTGAAACACTTAAAATTAACTGTAAATTGATTCTAAATAGAACTCTTTTGTCATTTCTTCACATCTACAACATAAGTCAAAAGTGCAGCCTGAAGCTGTCAGCGGAGAATACTAATGTAATTCAATGTGTACTTAACTATGTAATTAAACATGTAATTGTGTAATTACACATATATAGCCCCATATAAGTATTTATAAGTAACTCTCAACATCTAAGGCTTAACTTTCTCTTAATGAGAGTTTCTGTGATAGACTTACTGAGCCACCAGTCTCTTTTTGAAACTGCTGAAGCAGAATCAGCAATGGAGCTGCAGCGGGTCCTGCCATGGGAAGAGTTAGCTTCAGCTGCGCTTTCAAAGGACAATCTCCACATTCTGTATTCCTTTTCCTCTTCTGCTCTCTTATTTCATCATACCTGAATCTGCCAAGTGCAAATTCTGCCTCCCACCCCCACCCGTCCCACTCTGGCCCAGCTGCTTTCTGTCTGAAGTCTGACCTTGTAGCTGTCGTATGATAAGGCTACAGTAGGGCTTGGGCCGCTTTTTGAACTAATGGTGGGGCTCCTACTCGTCTGCGAGTGTGTGTGGGGCTTGTTGTAGATGCTTGTGCTGATGCTCGTCTCTGAGTGCAGGTTTTTGAGCATTTCGAGTGTGTTTACACTTAAGATTTATTGCCTAAGTGCTTATCTGTGCCGTTCTCATGGCAATCTGTTAGCAAGAGTGTGTATGTGTGTCTTGTCCTGTATCTGTGTTTACCTGTGTGTGTGTGTGTGTGTGTGTGTGTGTCCTTATCTGGGTGTATGCGTTTGTCTGCCTCAGCCTGTGTTGGGTTTATACGCATCTGCTCATGTCCTAGCTTTGTGTGTGTGTGTGTGTGTGTGCCCATCTGTTTGTGTGGGTGAGTGTGTGTGTCCATGTGTGTTTTTGTGTTTGTTTATCTGTATCTGTGAATGTCTCTTATATCTTACTTTTTTCAGATTTAATTGGCTTTATTGGCATTAATGGATTATTCTGCTGAATTGGTTTGAAGTCAGAGCTGAAAACCCATTTCAAATTTTTAATTAACTTGAATTTTAAACTAAAATCATTTTGCTTCGAAAGACCATATGGTTTAATTTTGTTTATTAAAACAAATGACTGAACATTTCATTTTGTCATGGCCAAAACAATCATAACACCTCAGAAATTGTACCAGTAGTGACTGTTTCGATGGTGATAATTTTAGCTAATTTTGAGTGTAACTTAAAAATGCAAGCCAGTGCATTACTAGCAAACACAGCCTAAAACACACATAAAATCATAAAATTTTAAATCATTTTATTAACACAAAAAAAAAAAAAATATTTCATTGCAGAAAATATGGGTTTCAGTAGTGACAGTTCTTAATGTTACACACTGATTTTTAGACTTTGGGACACTTTTACTTCAGCACAGTGAAATTTAACTGCTCTCCATGTGGCCATGAGGGACAGCGATGCGGTCTCACTTCCTGCTCTAAAATGCAGGGTTGTGGCTAATATAAGGCTCCACCTATGAATTATAGCTCTTTGTATTTCAGTAGTGACATAAAAAAGGCACCTCCCAATAGAAAGTGGCCTTTAAATGATGAATTTGTATGCATTTAGCTTAATATCTCCATGAATGCCTTGAAGTAGATCACAACAAAGTCCTTGAAAACATTTCATGTCTAAATAATTTGTTTTTTAATAGTTTTTACTGTGGGAAAGCACTGTGATCTAATTTGGTAGAATGGTCTAAATGGTCAAGTAAGGGATGGTTAATCTCTTTTTTTAACTCAGTAACAGTTATAAAATCATTACATTAAATCAAGTGTGCTTCTGATTTAATAAATCCATTGCAATTGTTGGAGTGCAGCGAACTATATCCTTCTAACATATCAATAAAACATTCCTCACATTTTATTGTATTTATGTTTATTCGTGTTTGTTCTATTGTGCATGTTTGTGTCCGTCCTCCAGAGTACATAGCCATCTGTTTGTGTGGGTGAGTGTATGTGTTTTGGTGTGTGTGTATGTCTGTTTACCTAAATCTGTGAAGATCTTTCTCTGATCATCTCTTAAATCTTACTGTGAAGCTTATTTACTTAAGATTTAATTGGCTTTATTTGGAATAAACAGTCATAAAGGTATGAAAGGAAAGTTTAATCTCTTAAACTTCAGTTTTGAAAAGCAGATTTTTTTTTTTAACTCAGTATCAGGTATGTAAAATTAGAATAACATAGCTTTACAGGGTGAAACTTGCTTGCAACTTTGCTTGCTTAAATCTGCATGAAACTAAACTGCACTTGAGTTGCATTATGTAAAGCGTCCTGCAACTCACTTGAAACTCAGCCGCAACAGATGCTTAAGTCATGAAACAAGTTTCATAAAACAGCCATTGATGATGATTTTGTAACTACCTCCATTAACTAGCGGACGAACACGAACAGCTGTTTAAATGGCTGCTTGTGCCAGTGTTTATACATATATATATATATATATATATATATATATATATATATATATATATATATATATATATACATATATATATGCCAAAAAGTGTGAGATCACTAACATTACTTTCTAATTTAATACAAAATTTTCTGTACAAATTATATTATCAGCATAACAATTTAAGAAAAAAGCTGAATCTATTAAGTATTTACATGAACTTTCTAGACTTCCATTAGTATTTTGCTCTAATGTCAGTGTGCAATCAAGCTGGCCTTCACAAGATGGACTTCACAAGTTTATGCAAAGCCTCTGATGAGTAGATCAAACCCACCTGAGAGTCTTCTGAACACGAGCTTCAGTGGATGGAATAAGTAAATGTACAAAAGCCTCAACATTATCAATTTTTCCAAAGTCTAAAACCCTCCAGTTTAAGACAAACAATCCCAGGTTTTCAGTGTGGTCTCAGACCTTTGGATCCCACTACATCATTGGACAGATCAGTAGAAGAACTTAAAATATGCATTATCAAGAAGCAAATAACTAATAATTATTAATGCTAGTAATAAAACTCATAATTGCCAATTCATCAAGAAGGTGAACATCAATCAGTGATTTTATAAATTGAATAATCAAGGTTCACTCAAGTAACCATGACAGCCATATTCAGTAGTAATAATAACAACAATATTGAAGAAGAAAAAAAGACTAGACTCAAAATCATTAACACCACAAATTGTCTTAACAGCATCTGAAACATCTGTAGTAGTGCAGGCTGAGGCCTAGCTAATGCATGCTATATGTTGCTATGATAGAATCCTTAATCATAGCCCTCAATTTTAGTTACAGCTCTAAATAGATTTTGTAGTGACACCACCAGCAGACTACACTGGACAGTGCTTGTGAAAAGTCACCAAGCATCAAACTAACAAAAGCAACAATACATATATAGTCATTGGTTGAAACATGCAGGTACTGTTGATCTCACTGGATTTTGGTGATGAAAATTGCAAACAGTCTTCACAATGTGGAAATCATGATTTTCATGTTCATGTGATTTATTTGAACACAGAGCTTGTGTAATCTCCATAAAAAAGAACTGGCAACAGAATAGGATGCTCTGTAGAAGCCACACAAGAGCCTAGGGTCACCATGCCCAATGCCAAGTGTCAGCATTTCTGATCTACAACTGATCATATGACAATAAGTAGCTAATGCTCTTGTGGCTGACTGCAATCAAATCCTCACAGCATGTTTTGTAAGCATTCTGTGTAGAACCATGTCTGTTCCACAGTTTAGGACATATAGTGTGTATAGTGTATAGCTTCACTTTTTAAAACCATTTCTCAAGTGATGATGTCTCTCTATATTTCACTCTCTCTGTCTCTCTTTTTCTCTCTCTTTTGCTTTCTTTTACTCTCTCTGTTTGCTCTCTGTCACTTTTTTGCTCTCTCCTTTTTCTCTGTTTCACTCACAGTCTAGCTTTCTCTTTCTCTCTCCTTTTTCACTGTCTATTTTGCTCTCTTTTGCTTGCACCTCTTTTGCTCTCTCCCTTTCTTTTACTCTCTCTCTCTCTTTCGCTATCTATTTCTATATCTTTGTCTTCTGTTTTGCCTTTTTTACTCTGTCTCTTTTGCTCTGTCACTTTTTTCTCTCTTGCTCCATTTTCTCTGTTTCACTCTCTTGTTTTCTCTCTTTCTCTTCTTTTTCTCTCTCTTACTCATTTTTGCACTCTCTTTCACTCTCTTGCACTTCTTTTGCTGTCTCCCTTTCTTTTACTACTTTCTCTCTCTCTCTTTATTTCACTTGCTCTCTTTTGCTGTTTCTCTCTTTTGCTCTCTTTCTTTCTGTCTTTCACTCTCTTTTGCTCCCTCTCTCTGTTTCGTTCCCTCTTTCACTCTCTCCATCTCTATTGCTTGCTCTCTTTTGCTCTCTGTCTCTATTTTGCTTTCTCTATCTCTTTCTCTTTCTCTCTCTCTCTCTTTGTCCCCTGACCTGTGTCTATGTGTGTGTGTGCAGGACGAGATCAAGGCGATGAAAGGCAAGCTGAAGATCATGAACCACCAGAATGTCCAGCTCAAAGAGGAGATCAGTGGCAAAGAGGCCGCTTTGGTCAAAGAGCACCTGGAGTTCCAGCGGGTGGAGAAAGAGAAGGAGGCTCTAAAGGTACGCTGTCACTTCTTCATTCCCTCTGTTTCTTCTGCACTGCCCGTCAAAAGTCTTCTTAAGGACACCTCGAGGACACCTCCTTTAGAACTTTGAGTTTTCTGTCCGGTACTTTTCAATGAAATATGAAAGATCCTGTATAAAACAGCTACTTGCTAATACTTGGCTATAATTATTGCAACACTCATGCTTGATGTGAAGAGAAGCTTTTGCCTAAATAATGGTTCAGCAGTTTTTTTAAAAGCACATACTGACACTATTTTGACCCAAAGATGGTTTACACAGCTGAGGTTTAAGTGTTTATGAGAGCTGACATCACAACAAGTGGATGAAATGGGTGGAGTTTGATATTGTTCCCAACATCAGTTAATTAAGGGCAGTTCTGCAGGCTTTGGTTGCCAGTTGACATAACGATTGAAGATTATTCAATAATCTTCAATCGTTTTACAAATTTTTAGAATCAAATTTTTTGAAATGTTAGAATCAGAACTATCTATAATAAATGATAATAAAGATTTAGATGCATAATAACATTTTGCTCAAAATAAACCTGGTTAAAATTTAAAAATATGTCAAGTTATTGCAAACTGACAAAGAAAACTTGCACATTTGTATTAAAAAACATTTTTAAAAGATGTGTCCTCAAACTTCTGACGGGCAGTATAGCCTATGCCTGTCTTTTTCCCCGTGTTTATTCGCCACAGTTATGAATCTGTCTTCTATATGACTGCCTGTATTTTATTCCATCTAATTCTCTCCTTCTACATGTCTATAATTTCCTGCACCCTGCTGTCCTGACTTTGCATCATATTGCAGTCACTTGCAGTACATTTTCTTTCTCCTTTTGTCTTTTCTAAGAGCTGTTCCACTTTTCAGAATGCACTTTAGAAGCCATTATATCAGCTGAGAGCCCCATGTGGCATGCCATACCATTTCATGGTGGTCTGTTCTTTAGGACACAGCTTTTTCTGGTATTCCTGCCTTTTTTTCTCCCCATGCTGACAGGAGCGTCTTTTGTGTTATGAAATTACATTGGCATTTGGTTCTTTTTTTCATTTCCCATGCTTACACAAGAAATATAAATTTGGAGCCATGAAAAGAACCAGAGCTCCTAATTCTGGATCACTTTAGGGTGAGAATCCTGATCTAAGATTAGATGCCTTTGTTAAGATGTATTTGTTAGCTTTTAAAAAGTAAAAAAAGTGCTTTTCCTTTGTGAGATTTAATATTCTTTATGATGAGTACATCTATTAACAGTACTTAAGAGAGTAATAAGAGGGCACTAAATTAATCATTAACCTATGATAGAAGTAAGGACTAACATTATTTTAGATTTTTTAAGTAGTTTATAATAATTGGCACATGCGTAAGCAAAATCTCAATTAATCATTAGCTAGTGATGCTAATGACAACTAGAATATTGTTTTAACTAATATTAAATAGTTTATGAATATGTTAATTAATGTGAGTTAACAAATGGGAAAGTAAGAACTAAGCTCTGATGAGCGCTGTCACCTCACAGCAAGAAGGTCCTGGGTTCGATTCCTGGCCGGGCGACCAGGGTCCTTTCTGTGTGGAGTTTGCATGTTCTCCCTGTGTCTGCGTGGGTTTCCTCCGGGTACTCCGGTTTCCCCCCACAGTCCAAAAACATGCAGTCAGGCCAGTAGGTTTGTGTGATTGTGTGTGTCTATCTGTCTGCCCTGCGATGGACTGGCGACCTGTCCAGGGTGTATCCTGCCTTCTGCCCAATGACAGCTGGGATAGGCTCCAGCACCCCACCGCGACCCAGAAGGATAAGCGTTTTAGATGATGTAGATATATGTATATTCATCATGAAATTTACATACAATGTATAGGACAACAGGTATTTTCAAATTATGTCAAAAACTAAAAAATTATATATATCTGTAGTTCAGTTCTTATTTTCTCTGTTTTTCCCACATGCAAACACAGCAAGATATTTTGGAACTAAGCTCTTTAACTTTAATGTGTTATTTAATGCAATTCTTCAGTTAAACTGTTTTCCTTACACACTCTCAGAAAAAAAAAAGGTAATAAACTATCACTGGTGTGGTAGCCCTTATGTCACTGTGGTGGTACCCTCAGGAGTACTCCTTTAATACCCTCTGTTATGGAACATAATTGTACCATATTACATTGAATTCTATATTTTTAAGTTGTACTGACTCCACACACCCCGTCTCGTCTCCAGGCTTATTATTATGAAAAGGTTACAAATGTGTGCTTTTCACCTGGGAAAAACTTATTTAAAGGACACAGTTAGACCTTAAAACCACTGTTGTACATTTGAGGGTACATTTACATCGCTTGTACCTTGATAAATAAAAACTGTACCTCCACAGAGCCTTTTTTCTGACAGTGCAGCCACGGTATCGTTAACTTGCTAAATCAACTTAATGAGCTGTTGTTAATATCAGATGGCAGTTGATGCAGTTGAAAGTGTACATAGACAGATTTCTTTCTTCACTAGCTTTCGATCAGTGGCTTCAAAAAGGTTATATGGAAATGATCATTATTGTTTGCAACCAAGACAGTCAGCTGACAAATTACAATGTGGGAAAACAGCCGCAAGCCACAATCAACAAAGATACAACCAACTTTTAAGACTGAACTTTTGAGGTGTGGAAAAATATCCCTGCAGGTTTCTTTTAAGAACTGAAAGCAAGTCTACCAAAAAGAAAGGAAGCAGTAATAACTTGTACTTAATCCCCTAAAATTATGCTAATTACATGTTATTCTTATAGTCTTATTATTCACAAAATACAGGGACTTCAGTGCAGACTGGTTGAGCTATTCCTAGGTTATAGAATTGTGTAATAAAACTTTGGGCCCACCAGTGGACCCTGGCCATTTAAGTAGTAAATGAACCCTAATGACCATTTTGACTGGAATTTAAATCCATGAAAGGTGGTCTCTTTTGTACAGTACTGACATGTCAAAATACTTGGAAAGCACAACTATTTCTGACATAAATTGTCTTTTCTCATATTTTAATCTGAGTGCACAACAGTGCTTAGCTTTCATTAAACTTTTCTCCTGGGGGATGATGCCTCCAGACCCCAGGGTAGGAGAATAGTTTGGTTGGTTTCTGAACTTGTCACCTTTTTCAAGCCTTATGAGTTTGCATGCCTCTTTTTACTCTTGAGAAGCTTAATAATACAGGCCCAGATAATGTTAAGCTCAGTTCAGTTATCACCGTTCATATCTTAGCTACTGTTCATCTATACAATCAAATCAACAGCAGAGAGAATCATTTTTATTCATCAGCATTGAATCCAATTTTCATAATCCTTTCATTATTAGTTTTCATATCTCTGTCTTTATCAAATAGCATAGTTGGACTTTCAAAGCGACGAACTTTCAATATCACCTTCATAAGGGGGGGGATATAGGGATATCAAAATAACAGAGAAAGAGGACAAATATACAAAGGAAGGCTCTTCACAGTTTTCAGCAGAAATGTGTATTAGAGCATTGCGGGGGCTTTGAGCCCCCATGCCTTTCAAATTCAGCAGCGCACATGAAAGGCAGAATGAATATGCATGGGCCTTTTTTTTCGATCATTATGAATGGTTTCAATAATTCATGCCCTTGCCCGACGTACAGACGGACAGTTGGTGCGAGGAGTTAACAATGGTGGTCAATCACAGTGAAGGTGACCAGTGTACTGACTTCTGGTTTCAGGTGCGCTTCAGTACTATTAGTTTCTATTATATTGTTCCATAATATTATTCTTTATTATATACCGTTATTACTCATATTGTAGACAGACATAACAAATCTATACTTAATGGAACTGGAGCCGTAGAGGGTCTCAGTCTGATAGCTGCTTAAACTGCAGGCTTATTATTCAATTGTTAATCGTACGACCTATTCACTACCTGCTAAAATTAATATGTAGATTATATTGAAGTGTGGGCCCACATTAAGAGGTAAACTCAATAGGCTGAGAATATAATTATTCTAGAGTGGCTCCCCTTATTCAAGACCTTTCTCTCTGGAGGGTTTAAGTCCAGTTTTTCAATATAGAGCTGTATGCAAAAGTTAGAACACCCTCTGTCAAATGACAAGTTTTGTTGATTTTCTAAGTGAAAATTAGTTAACACACCCTCTACAGGGAGCAAACTTAAATATGGCATTTTCTGCAAACTGTAGTGCACAATTTCTATTTGTTTGCCCTGTTTAACATTTTGGAAAAAATGAACATAAAATATCTTTTAACTACAGAAGTCCAGAGAGGCCGTGAAGTAGTTATCATTTTCTGGATTGTTATCTTGAGATAATGAGTTAATTATCTTGTTATCTCAAGATAACAATTCAGAAAATTCTAGCAGCAGCGCATGGCCTCTGCAGACTTTTGTATTTAACTTGTTTATTTTATGTTTGTTCAACAAATAAGCAATAATTGTGTTTTATAATGTTCAGAAGTGTGTTCTCTATAGGGGATGTGTTATTTAATTTTCATTTAGAAAATCAACAAATCATATAATTTGACCAGGGGCATCCAAGTTTGGTCAAACTTTATTTGGATGGTCCCTTGAATCATTAACAAACTTTCTGGTAACACCCAGTTGATTATCAACAACATTATGGTTAGGGTTAGAGTTAGGAGTCTGTGTAGGTTTTGTTTAGAGGTTAGGGTTAGGTTTAGGTTTAGGGACAGATTTAATAGAATCTTCAACACTCAACTTTATGTTCAGTTGCATTTAATCGATTTAATAGACTAAACTTAGTTGAATATTACTCACAGATATACTGAGCATCTACAAAGCATCTACAGTGGACCACCCGAATAAAGTGTTACCCCAAATTTTTGTATACAACTGTATCTCCCAGCTTTCACCTTGTCCTGCTCTCAAAGGATTTAGTCTGACATTTCTCAATTAGAGCAACACACTTAAGAGTTTTGGTCATTGTAATGGTTTCTTCGTTGATTTCCATGCTGTGCATTTGCTCATTGAGTTGTCTTCATCAGTGTA